TGGTGTATAGGAACATGACCTCCATGGTAGCAAGGATAATGTTCTGAGGGAGGATGTCAATATTGTTGAGTTTCTGGAGGAAACTGACCGTTTGTTTGGTGACTGGTTTGAGGATTGTTTCTGAGAGTCCTGATATTCCTTCTTTAAGAATGCCATGGTCAGATATGGTGTGTCTGCCTGGGTTCTCTTGTTTGTATATTTTGGAGGTATTTAGAGGGTACCGGGGTGAGTATGTGGGAGATGAGTTTCTTTTGGAGTTGTTTGGGGAAGGATTTCATGATATCCTTAAATTCCTGTGTGAATTGTGGTGTGGGGTCTTCTTTGAGGTTTTTTATAGTAGGTGTCAGAGTTTTGTCAGTTGGCTTTGTTGATGATGTCGTCATGGTTGAGAACTATGATGGCACCCCCTTTGTCTGCTGGTTTGATCCGTATCTGGTGGTTGGATTTCAGGGATTGTATAGCTGTCCTCTCAGTGGTAGAGAGATTGTGGTAGATGTGATGTTTACGGATTTCGCAGGAGATTTTTTTCAGGAAGTAATTGATGTAATTGTCAGGTGTGTGGTTTATGACTCTCGGTGGGGACGTGGTAGATGTGGATGATGGACTTCTAAAACAGACAATGGTTTTATGGTTCAATACTCCAATGTGACTCTATTACCCCTCCTTTATCCTATGACTGTAGAGTGTTAATTGCCCACTTCATTTTAAATGGTTTCTTTCTATATGTTAACCCCTTATGTTTAACAATCAGTCACACCTTGTATTTAGCTGTGACATTCTAGTTACCTTTTCCAAGCTTATAAGCTTTCGAGCTTCACAGAGCTCTTTATCTTCCACCAACAGAATTGGTTCAATAAAAGACATTACCTCATCCACCTTGTTGTTAGGACTACCTGATATGTATATTTTCAAAATATCCAAGTTTTCCCTTACTTGTTCTTTAGCAATAACAATTCAAACTTCATTTCTGTTGTTGAAGATACTTTTGTAAAAAGTTCAGTCTGCCATTGGAGTCATTAGTTTAATTCTCCTTCCTCCTTCACTAACAGGCTTATTTCCTCTTTTGATCTTGTTTTCACAATAGAGTTGCAAAAGTGTTTCTTGTTCTCCTTTACTTCTTTTCCTACCATTAACTAACTCACTGTTCTGTACTTGTTTATTGCCATCTGCCTGCCTCCCCCCATCCCTCAAAAGCAATAACGCATTGAGTATTTTTGTTTGGTGTCACCACTGTTTCATTGTCAAGTGTGTAAACTTCATAACTAGGCTTCACACTACTCAATATTTTTGCCAACAATTTGAAAGAAAATCAAAATCACTCTTGATTAAAATTTACAGATGACAGAGACTGGCAGAGTAGTAAAAATGATGAAGATAGGGCAGTCACAGAGAGTGATCTGGATTGCTTGGTAAACTGGGCCCCTTCAAACATCAGTTTTACTACAGTCATATGCAAAGTTATACATCTAGGAACATGGAATGCACCCCAAATCTACAGAATGGGGGACTGTACCCTAGAAAGCAGTGACTCAAAATGATTTTGGGGTCATGGTGGATGAACAACTGAACACAAACTCCAAATGCAATGTTGAGGCAAATAGGACTGCTAAGATCCTTGGGTGTGTAAACAGGAGAGTAGTAAGGTGATTTTACCTCTCTTTACAGCATTGGTGACGATGCTGGAATACTGTGTCCAGTTCTGATGTCCACATTTTAGAAGAGGATGTTGAACATTTAGATAGGGTACAGAAAAGAGCCATAAATACTATTCAAGGGCTGGATGCCTCACAGCGAGAGACTTAGAGCTCAATCTGTTTATTTTATCAAAAAGATTGGCAGGAAATTTGATTACTAAGAACCTTTGTGGGAAGAAATTACCAGCTATTGCAGCTTTTTAATCAAACAGAGAAAGGCATAATAAGAACCAGTGACTGAAAGCTGAAGACAGACAAATTCAAATTAGAAATTAGGCACACATTTTTAATAGTGAGATTCACCATTAGATTAGAACAAACTACGAAGGGAACTGATGGATTCTCCATTTCTTGTTGTCTTCAACTCAAGACTGGATGTCTTTGTGGAAGATATCAGGTAGCCAATATAAGTTACTGGGCTCAATACAGGGGTAACTAGGTGAAATTTAATCACCTGTGCTATACAAGGGGCTAGACTAGGTGAAGATCTAATGATCTTCTCTGTTCTGAGTTTAAACTCTGGGAATCTGTGGATGAATCCCTGAGCAGTTCCTGGATAATTCAACTTGCCACTTTTCAGTATTTAGTGATTCAATGTTACAGGGCAGATATTGGTTTTCACTGGACTTCTTATAGTTTCAGTACCTGTGCAACTCTCTCAGGAATGATAATTACAAGAATTAGAATTCTAGCAGTCAGGTGCAAGACATTCCCATAAATTGCCCTTCCCTGTTGGAAATAGAGAGAGGGCTGAGTCTGAAAGGGTAAATTCTATAGACTAGCAACATATGCACATTCTTAATCACATTGTATTGTCATTGTGGGGAAACTTTGTAAAGGAATGGAGATTAAGACTGTAATCTTGACAGATTTTATAGATTATAAAAATGGTATTGAGTTTCAAAATCTCTATTGTTGGTTTAGCTGGGTTTTCTTTCTTGGTTTTTGGAAGAAAATTGAATACCTAATTTAAAATACTTTGTTTTTATTCTTTTTAGGGTACAAAAATAAAGGCTGAAAGTATAATGAACTTGAGAAATTTGTGAGTCTGAGAACACCAACAAAATCTAAAAACCCAAAGGAAATGAAAAATGGAGAATTTTTTTTCCCAAAATCTGTTCTCACCTAATTTTTCACATGTTAGTAAACAGAGACAGGCAGACATAGTACTATCAGTTGAACAGTACTAGCTCATTTGGAGAAAAGAGGTGGGTTGGTTTCACAAGGTTCCAGGAGATACCAAGATGGTGGCCTAGGTACTTTCTGTCATTGGTCAGAAGTGGGTTGAAAGATATTGTTAAAAAATCATTTATCCACTTTTCAATAAAATACAAGTATCCTTTTATGTCGTCTCTAAACAGATACTTGTAGCATTCATAATGTGCTGGGATCTCTGCTTCTAAAAATCATTGCTTGTAGCTGTTTTTTCAAGATTTTGAGCTAAAATATATTTTAACCACTTGGGTTATGCTGAACTTAAAACAAGAGAAAAAAATAAAGAAAATGCCCTTTAAAAAAATTGTTGAGTTGCTCAGCACCACCATTGTGGAAAGTCTGAAACAGCAGGATTTCAGAGCTTCTGTAAATGCCATGATTGCACATCACATTTTTGTGGCTGTTTTCCATTAAAAACCAAAACTATGCCTGTTTAAGTCTAACTAGAACTCAAAATGTTGCATTTTTGTGATTTCTGTGCAATTTGGCAAAAAAATTTCTATGCCTCCAGCATTCCTCGCTCCTCAGTTGAACTTTTTCAAAACTTGTTGAGATAAAACCTGCTCTCTCTTGTATTGGAACACAGCAGTATCCAAGCATTTCAAGTGGTCTTTTTTGATTTGTAAACCTTTTGTACTCAGTTGAAAATAAAGGACTGTTTTAAATTTCTGGTGATAGAAGAAAGGCAGGTTTATTCTGTTGGTATATCTGTTTTTCCCCTTCTATTGAAAATTTGAATGCCCATACATATTACAGAATGTTGGATGGCTTTTGTTAAAATGCAGTACCAGGTCTAATCATATTAGTATGCATTGTGCAACAGTGGATTTAGAAGTTCCTTGAGCAAGTGCAAATTCCATTATGGAGGAAAGGGCCATACTACACTGTGAACAGGCATACGGTCTCATTTTTAGGAGAAAAGGGACAAGACCAGATCCAGACTACAAAATCCAGATCTGACACCTGGAAGGAAATTCAGAGTTGTCTGGTTTGGGCTCGTTTCTGTTTGGAAATATTTGATTATGGTAGTTCATATTTCCAGACACCAGATGGTGCTGCTCTTCTACTTAAGGTGTCATTTTCAGTTAATGGGCACTG